CAGTGTTAACATAGTCCCGCATCCATCAAAGTTCACTCAGCACATTCGCTTTGTTCTGATCACCTGCCTCAAAGTCACATTATCTGAATGAGCCAGCCACGCAAAGCCACAATCAACACCTTTCAGCCTGCGCTACTGGAACTGCCACTTTATAGTGTAAAGTTGAACATGCAGCAGCTGTTGTGTGTGTAGGAAAAGAAACATCTGAGCACCGCTGTCCTCTTTTATTGTGTGGTGAGTGCGAGCCTATTCATTTGACCTAGATTTACATGAGAGAATCCTTTAGGTAGCACCGGCTCTTTCTCCCTCTAATCAGTGTGTGTACCCTCTGCAGGGCTCTTCTGTGTGTTCGTGGCACACAGAGTGGACACCCACACTAAAGCTATGCGTCAGCCTAACAAATGTAACCCGTTTGAGTCAGAGAGGATAAATTCAGATCAATAAAGAGACACAGACGATGTACGGATGTTTTCTCAGCAGCAGATTGTGCTGGTGACAAGGAAGAATGATGGCTAATGTGTTCGCTTTTAATGTTTTTCAGCTTATCAGCCTGCAAGAGAAGAGAAAACTGACGCACTCTGAGAATAGATTCTGGTAGACAATTTGGATTTCTAAATTTCCTTAACTTGACTAACTCTACAACTCTTTGTGATTCTTTACACATCTGCATTCTGCATTTTTTAAACAAAAGCTATTGCTACCCTATTTGTCTTGACAAAACTGCCACTAAAAATGTATAAAATGTAACCTTTGAAACAACAACGAAATGTATTACATTTTCCATCTCATTCAACAACTTCACACACTGTCGCACAAAAATATCTCCCATTCATAGGTTTAATTAGCTGCTCTACCTGTTGCACTGCTGCAGTGTGAGGGGAGTTACAATGCCTGATTTATTGAACAATCAATAACCTGTCTAAAGATCTGTTATGAACTGCAATGAACCGCAGTCTTGATTCTCTGATGGAAATAATAATAATAATAATTGTTTGAGCCTTAAATCAATAGCGACAGCTGTACAGTGAAAGGAAAGAGGAGAGAGGGGATGACATGCAGCAAAGGGCCACAGGTCAAACCCGTGGCCGCTGCAGCAAGGACTCGGCCTAGGTAGATAAAACTGAGCTTTGACTGTTATGTCTGTGACAAAACAGCACTAATGAAGTACTGCTGTGCTGCAGAAATGCTCTGAACTACAAATCTTGTTCTTGTTTTTTTAGTGAAAATTAATTTGAGATGAAAAACTGGATAATTCGCACTAATAGAAAGAATCATATTGCAATATGTTTTTACTATATCGTGCAGCCCTACTCACAGCCAACTGTGACTTGTCTTGCTTTCCCTTCAAAGCAGAAATAAACATCTATTTTAAACCTTCTTGAGAGCGCAGCAATAGTGTTCAAAGAAAACTTTACTGGAACTGTCAATGGACAAAACCAATCAGAGGTTCTGTGTTTACACCCACACCGGACCAGTCGTCTGATCCGTACAGTCTGGGTGCACTAAAGGTCATTAAAAAGGACATAACATGGCATAAAAGATTAAGTGCCCAGCGTCTGCCCATCTGTATGCAACAGGGAGGAAACTAGTGAGCTGTGCTTAACAGATGATCATGACACCAAACCATCTCAGCAGTTAAATGCCAGGAGGCGTTTTGGATTCACACCACAGATGGAAAACGTGGATAAAGATAAGCTGGCTTTTAAAAATGAAATTGCCTTACAGTGACAAATGTGAAATCACTGCATGGATGCAGTATGAGATCTGGATCCCGGACCTTTATTTTAATAGAAAATTACTCAACCAGCACATGAGCTTAAGTTTTTGTGCTTCCTGGTTTCACAAGTTTTGTGCAAATAAAATTAAAAATGCATGATACAAAAAGTGATAATTGAGCAGTTACATAGACATCTCTTTTAAATTGATGATGTGTGAGGAAAATACTTTTTAGTTCTTATTAGATCAAAATAGACTTTGTTTATAAGTGACAGCCCTGTCACAGTTATCAGAGTTTGTAGTATTTTATATATTTTTTGTAGTTTTTTTATGTTCCGCAGCAATAAATGAGCAAAATTTTATACCTAGAATATGTGACAACATACAACTTTGCCAGTGCCCAGGAAGTGAACTGGCACTTCTTCGGCTGCTAGTCTACACCCCCAACCGTGGTCCTAAGCCAAGTCCCTATGGACTGAGGTACTAACGCCCCTATGACGACTGAGCAAACTCCATCTGCTGATGAAGGCCACCAGTTGTAGCTGAAAGCTTGGGAACAAACAACCATGTCAGCGGATCTTAGGATAAAAATGTTTTGTCATGCATACAGTTAATTTTCTAATTCATCAAAGTCCCCTCCAAAACTAATGTATTTACCCGGCTATTACACACAAAGTTTGGTATCTAGAAGTAGGCTACCCAGTCAATGGCAGCTGGATTGACTGTTTAAGTCTTTTACTTTGACTTGTGCTCCTCCAGATATCTTCCAGATCTCTAAATGTCTCTTTATTGCCTCTCCCTGGCAGCTGCTGGCGCCAGCCAAAGAGAAGCTTTGCACTGATAGTTAATTCTCATGCAGCACCCTGCCGGGAACGCTGTTTGTTTCGACGATGGACCCTGACCGACTAATTTCTTGTTTAGTTAATCATGCGATACATAATCAGAATTACCCTAAGCTCTGTGAGTTATTCTGTGAAAAGGGATATAGCTGGCTCGCAAGCAAACACCAGCTTACACCAGAGCCAAGATGGTTCCCGTCTCATTATAAACCAGCCGTCACTGAACACAATCAGCTGAGGACATGACAATATTTTAATAGCCGGGCCTGAAGAGAAAGGCATTTTTACAAGAGGGGGGTGAGATTGGCACGCTAACCTAACTCTACATCCAGACAGCTGGGAGCCAAGTCACCTTTTCATTGTCCTCAGGCCAGTTTGAGTTATCTGATGGGCAGCGGTAATGTGTAAGAGCATGGACACACTGGATGGTACAGCCAGAATGTGATTTATTGCTTTCAGTGGTTATAACAGTTTAAAAATGTTCAGCATCTGTCTCAGATCATAAAAATGAAAGGGTCCTGCAGGCAGCTAAGTATTAACAGATTTATTTTAGAGTTTAGTAACCAATTAGCTACGGATCTTCTCATGTAAAGCCAATGAGCTGCTCAGTTTCATCAATACCAGCTGGCTCTACTTTGCTCATGTGAAGTCGGACAGACGGGCAACACAGTTTTGCGCCGTAGCTTCTTATTCACTAAATATGACGTTTCGGACAGGCAGGACTGGGTTGTTTTCCTTTTTTTTTTGACAGGCTTAGCTGCTGTCAGGAATGTGAAAAGAAATCCATCATGAAAATGAATAAATCCCTTCCATCTTCAGAACTGGAAGCGGCTGAAGTTGCTCATCAGTGAGCCGCAAACTGGAATTATTTGTTTGATTCCATTCAGCATTTACTCCAAATCAAAGGATGGCAGATATAATGTCACACCACAGTGGTTTCCATGCAGAAGCCCATAAAGAACAACACAGATTTTAAGCCAGGTGTCCTCTGTATTGTTGAAGGACAGCATACACAGTTTCTAAGTAATTTCAGCATTCAAAAGTAAGTTAAAGATTGATGTAATGTTCCTGTTTTGTCTTTTCCAGTGAAAACCTGAATGAAGCAAACAAATCCTGACATAAAAGACACAAGCTGTAACAATCTCTGATTTCCACAATGGAGAAAAGCCAACAACTGGTAAGAAATGATGCAGCAGCACAGCTGACAGGAACAGGATTGGCCAAGTCAGAAGAGCCTATGGGCTTCTTTGAGCCTGAATGATGCCGAATATGTGTTGGTAAGAGACAGGAAAATTAATACGATTTAACACATCTTGTCAATATTTTTGTGTTTGCTTGTGATTATGTGAGGTAATAGCATCCAGCTGGAAAACGGTTCTCAGTTTTGGCTCCGAATGAGATGTTTACGGTCCAAGTTATTCCGCCAAATTAATTGAAATTTGATCAGTTTGTCATTACACTAATTGTTAACGACATGCATGCAAGCCAGTAAAAAGCCAAAACTGAGTGCAGGACTTTGAACCTGTGTGACCATTATGTTCATGAAGTGACGCATATCCAACATGTGACAGCTAAGATTTCTTGTCCAGAATTTTTAAAATGACATCTCTCTCTCTTATCAGGTAGTCTCATATGCTTTTATGTTATTTTTAATCTCACAAGGGGCAATAACCATCAAAAGAAATCAAAAAAAGCAACAACATTTGACTTCCTTGAAATTTCAGAGCATTCAACCATGCAACAACATTATGCCCTCTTAAGATGAAGAGTACTCTGCTGTGTGCTTAAAAGGGGACCTCTGGTAAAACCACAAGCAGCAGCAGCAGCCACAGCAATGAAAATTACATATTTCATGAATTGTCAGCGTGCTTGTTCCTGCATTTGAATTCAAAATTTTGCTGGAGGAAGAAGGGAAGAGGAGGGGGGGGTCTGGTCTTTTCAGATTGACACATCTTAGGCATCTGAGCAGGCTAATAGCTTCTCCTAACTGCCAATAATATGAATCTGAGTAATGCATTTGAATACATTTACACTCACTCAGGTTATAAAGCAAAGTGAAATCTGCTAATGCAGCTTGTGTTAAAGGTCATACAGGTACAGTACATACAGTACTTTCTTTATTTATTGTATTTCATTGTGCTTCACTGCCTCAATTCATCACAGTTAACCCTTACCACCCACACCAGCTTGTCCTGTGTGGAATAAGTTGGTTTAAAGAGGAATTGTTACTTTCTAATTGGTTGAATAGTTTGATGACAGGGAAAAGCTTTTAAGAGGAATGCATTGTATTAACTTCCATGAGAAACCAGATTTTTCTTTATAAATGTCGTTATAAGTAGGCTATATATTTATCCCTTTACATAATTCTAACAAACTGCAATGGACTCTGGTTTCACTCACAGACTGCCACTTCCAGCAGCCCGTCCTGTGAATTAATTAGCTTACCTTGAAAGATCCATATTAACATCAGTATGGCTCGGAGTCTTCTCTTTATCTCCATGGCCCCACATCCACCGGCAAGCTCCAGCGGACGAGGAGCTTTTCTTTTTAAAGTTGACGCCGAACACTCTCTTCGCTCCTCAACTGCTGCTTAATTGTCTTCAGGCAGCAATTAACAGAAAGCAGCGAGGCAGCTCCTGCGAATAAAGCCCGCTCTCCTGTCCCCATCCCGCACACAAACTGCGGCTGACATTGCGGAGCGCACCTGCGGCTCCTCTCTCCTCCTACTTTACAAACCGCGGGGAAACAATTTAGGTTCTCTCTTTCTTTTTCTGCCGTTTTTCATATGTTGGATCCACTTCTGCTGCTCATCTGTGGGGCTTCTTCAGTGTGTCGCTCCTTGCTGTGCAGCTCACACATTAGTACAGTAAACTGTAGGAGCTTATTCACCTGCCGGAGCTGCTCGGTGTCGCCCCCTGGCAACAGAACCTCAACTGCACCTCGTCGGTCGATAAATATCTACAGTGGCCTTTATTAGGCTGGAAAACAGTGTATATGATGACTTTTTGTCTTTTTTAATAGACCTACAATAAAATGAATGTTTATCACCCACCACTTTTGCGTAATTGATCATATATTTAACTCAGGTTATACATCATACTTATTCAAATTCATACACAACAGTCTTGATAGCCTATGTAAACTTATGTATATTTCATTTAAATTATACTTACGGTATATACAATTTTATTTATTTACACTGTGCAACTACCTCCTGCTGTGTGATTTCATTCATCTTTTAAGACACACACACACAATGTGTATTTAATAATGTGTGCAGCTGATGATGATCCATCAAACATATATATATATATATATATAATATAAAAAGGAATAAATGTATATAATGCATATAATGCTTATTTTCTTTTTCTATTATATCTTCTCTGTTTCTATTTTATTTTATTTTGTGTGTATTTTTTTTCTATCACTCTTTTTGTGGTGTGATGTACTGTATGTGAAGCTGATGTAACAAGCGAATGTCCCTTCTTTCATCTCATCTCGTCTTATCACTGGTGCAGTGGCAGTGGGTGTACCAACAAAGTGGCATCTTTCTTTTATGTCGTGTTTCCCTTTTTGAATGACTAGTTCCATTCCCTCTATGTGACCCTGGAGTACACTTCTATATCACTCCAACAAGGCTGGATCAAGTTAAACCACTGGTCAGCTAAAACAAGATTTTCAGGGGGTCTTAAGTCACTCTTTTAAAAGGTCCAGTGTGTAACATTTAGGAGGATCTATTAGCAGAAATGCAACATAATATTAAGCATGTTTTCATTAGTGTATAATCGCCTGAAAATACCAATTATGTTTTCATTACCTTATGAACTGTTTTTATCTACAGAGGGGAGTCCGCCATGTTAAACTGCAATGTTTCTACAGTAACACACAAGGGACAAACCACACACTGGTTCTAGATTGGGCCACCGTAGTTTCTCCTACAAGCTAGGAAGGAGAGAGTGTTGCAATACTACACACTGGTCCTTTACACGTGTATGAATTGATTTTCTTTTGTCCATCTTTCAGACCCATTTATCATCTCATCTATTGTTAACAACAAAAAAAAGATGTAGACCCAAATGCAAGACTTCACATTTTTTATTTGCTTGATTGGAGGCTAAGCAGAGCAGAGCACTTTTTTCTCTCTTGAAAATTCTTGAAATTCCTTCAATTTCTGTAAGAAAATTAGCAGCCCGTTTACCCATGGCTTATAAAGCTTTGAGTATTTTACAGGCAAGTATTACATCTATTTTATCTGGAAACATTGAAAGAATGAAAACTCCCCCAGAACAACTCTCAAATACACTTAATACTGTAAAATGTAATGTCAACTCAATTATCATGCATTAACTGATATATTATAAAGTCTAATTCAGAGCAGAATCAAATGTCACCAGTAAAAGTCTCACAGGAACACACTGTGCAGCCACTTATACAAGAGAACCGAAGTTGCTGTGGGATTTTACATAGAAATGTAAGTCTAAGGTCCCAGCTCAGCTCACAATAAATGGGTTGTCAGGTGAAATATTAATGTTGCAGGTCGATGTGTTGTATTTTTAATGGAATATAATGGATTTATTACATGATATTAAGCTTCATATGTTTTCTGAGAGCCTTGCACTGGATCAAACAATCAAACACGCATGAAGCCACCAACCCTCATTCAGTCTCATGAAGACGGATATAAAGATCCTGTGTTGTTTTTTTAATCTGCTTCAATAGAGTTACTGTCTGACAGGAGGCAGTTACACTTCTGACTTATTTATGTTGCTTTCATATTGTGGAACCTGCTGTCCCCTGTCTTCTTCTATTGTTGTTTTAACATTAGACCCGGTTAAATTTTTACTGAAAATAAACATGACTCACTCTCAGTCTAATGAGACTTTTTATGAATTATATTGCACTTGAAACCTGCCAAAATACCAATATATGTAGGGACATACTGCACATTTTGATAATGCTTCATATTACAGCCTGCAAATTACATATAAGGATATTAATAAAATAATTATCTAGTGCTGATACTGTGATAAATATGTTAGTACAAGAGAAGAAGACAAGATCTAAGGGAATAACAACTTTGTGATTAAGAGGAAATTACACAGTGCTGCATGGATTGTTTTAATTACTGAAAACCTAATTGTGCCTATTAAACTACTCGGTAACAAGGCAGAAAAAATGGGGGAAAACAAGTTCATTTTTATGCTTGTTTATTTGCAAAAACAATCCTTTGAAACATCCAGTTGCTAGTTTATCGGGTCCACATAGCTAAACCTAATGCAGTCTAATACGACCTGCCATAAACTCTCACATTACATAAAGATGTGGACCCAAATGCAAGACAGATTCAGACTTATGATGACATTTGGTAGATTTTATTGAAGATGGTGATGAGGAGAGGGTGGAGGAGTTGGCTTACTAACGGTGGGTGGTAAAGAGCTGATGCATGGCTGGCTGGCAGGCAGGTTTAAACCTAAAGCACCAGAATAGTAATTAGTCAAGAGTGTTACACAGGAAACTATTTGTAAAACTACAAAAAACTAGAACTCTGCGACAGAAAGGTACTTGACGAGCATACTCCACTGTTGTAGACTGAGGATCGGGCACTGAGTAGCTGGAGAACCGGAGCAGATATACTGTTGGGTTGATTGGAGGCAGGTGAGCAGACTGAGAGAGTTGACAAGTCGATTGCAGATACGGGTGTGGAGTGGAGCTGAAAGGCAGGAGGAAAACCACAACACACAGACACAGACACAGACAGGAGACACAGGGGAGGGGGAAAAAAACAAGGAAAAGGCAAGGGTACCGCCATGGCCAAAACAAACTCTACCTTCATTATTGATATAAATAAACACGTCTCTCTCTCTCTGCACAACGCAATACAGCTCAACAGCACCACAAACTGCAGCCTCCAAAATAATCCTGGATTTAAATCAACGCCTCTTTAAAACAGTTTCAACAAAAACTGAACATCATAACCTTTATGAATGTGGGATTTATTGCAGGTTGTATTAGACTGCATTAATTTTAGCTGGGGTGGCAACTGCATGTAAGTCTTAAAACACTTAATGGCATCAACTTAATCATGCTGTATGGAAGCAGGAGATGTGTATGCATGGAAATAATATGGAATATGTTGGAAATACTGTTTATTCCTGTTGCTTTAATAATGAAAGCGCTGTCGACTAACTCTTGAACATACAGCTATATTGGATGTTTAAGCAGTTTTTGTGTGTGCTAATAAAGCTAAATGATATGTGACTGGCATAAACAGGCTGTAGGCCCCCCGTCTAACCTTCTGTATTTAATCAAATCATATCTTGTATCAAAATATGAATTTTATCATGTCTATATTTGGGTGAGTGTGTGTAAAAAATGTGTGAATCTTGGACACTACTACTACACTACATTAGAAATTTGATGTCACTGCTATGTGTGAATAATTGATTGCTTAAGTGCGAAGGAAGCACTAATATGAAACTGCACTGCTTGCAAGTTCAGGCCTTTCCAGCCCTGTTCCCCTTCAATGAGCTACATTTTCAGTGGGTCAGGTAGATTTCAGAAATGACTTCAGCAGAAATGTTACTGATTACTCCACCACCTGTGCTTTCGTGCACATGATTTACTGCTGCACAAAAGACACTGACATGACAGAATCTAATCTTCATTGGTTGGCATTTGGTTGGGGAAATGTATCTGTGGTGGATTTCTTCACTATCTTTCTGATTTGTGTCACTTTCAGCGGCTATCTATGTGAGGAAAACACTCCCCGCCGTCTTCCTGAATACACCCATTGTTGAAGTTATGCGGAGATGCTGCTATCTCGCTGCCAGATGGTGGAAGATGAGCCTTGACAGTCTACTCCTTGATAGAATAACTGTATTTCTTTGTAGAGACCATTTCCTCCTCATTGCACTTTATTCCACTGGATTTTACCCACAAAATGATGGATAACTGGTTTTCCAACAAAGTGCAGAGTTCAGACTGATTGATTCTTTTGTGCCATCTAGTGGTCTACACCTGCAGCAACGGTGAAGTCTCTGTGTCTTTATTCATCACCTCTACCTGCTTTTTAAAATTATTTTTAGAGGTTGGCGGGGGTGTAGCTGCAGGTAAACAACAGTGAACAGGTCAGCAGTCCCTCGCAGGGCTAATACAGATTGACAGACAATCATTCACACTCATGCCTGCGTAACTGTTGGCAGTTTCACTCCTGACCTGTGTGTCTTTGGACAGAGGAAGGAAACACCCAGAGGAAATTCATGTGAGAGCATGATGACAACATGCAATGTCCTCATAGAAAAGGCCACAGCAGAACCTGTGTCTTTATAATTGACAGGTTTTGACCACTGAGGCACCATGTTTCCGGAGGATATTACTGTTTAAAATGAGAAATGTTCACAAAAGACAATCCTAATGTCAAATCTTTTTAAATTCATACAGTTTAATAGTCAAAATTCAAATTATTACTGAGATTGTTGGAAAATGTTTTATTAGGCATTGATTGATATCATTTCTGCTGCTCATTAAAGGATTATGCTGCTGTAATGTTTATCTCATTGTCAACAAAATCCCTAAACCAACGATCTGAGTCCGTTCCTAAATGCATCTCGTTGTCTCTGTGCCACCCAGTCCCAAGTCTGTTCCTATAGACATAAACCACCATTTTTCTCAGCAGGCTGTTTTGTTTAAAATGTGAAGTACCATCAAGTTTTCTTGGTCTTACTCACAAAAGGAGAATCTTAATCTCGCAAATCAAGTCCATAAACATTTTATCATCCAACATCTTTATGGAAAATGATGGGGCTGAGGATGGAATTGCTGATATTAATTTAAACTGGCT